TACACCTGTTGGACATCTGTTCATGCTTTCCTCTTTCCCTGCCAGGGATTGTCTGAATGCACATGAAGCAGTCGCCTTGCTGAAACTGAGCGGGCTGGGTCTGGCCAGTGTTTGGAGGAAAGCAATGTACTGGCCTTGAGTTACATGGTGGAAGAAAGGTGGGATACAAATGCAATAAACAAATAAACACGCAGTGACACCGTCTAACTATTAACTATGTTGAACAAAGCACAGAGTCCTGGGAATCAGGTTAACCCAGCTTAACACGCTTCTCTTGTCCAGTGATAACATTAACCTCCCACAAAGTACATCTAGAAAGGAACGCGTGTGTGTACATACATCTGCAGTGAGAAACTTGTGGCCACTCAGCGGTTTTGGCCTGCAAGTCCCATCATCTTTAGCCAGCAAAACAGCTGGGAAGCGTTGATGGGAACTGTAGGTAGAACAGCTGAAGGGGCCATGAGTTGCTCAACCCTGGTATACAAGAAAGGTGGGTCTGTCGAGGAGCCTTCCCCAACAGGGGGGGTGCTCTGGGTGGGCAGGATCACAATGCCCATCATCCCCAGCCAACTGTCCCATTAGCTGTGTTGCCTGGGAATGATGGCAATTGTAGGCAAAAGCCCCTGGAGGTCGCCAGGTCAGGGATGGCCGCTGTAGAATAGCGTGGCCCCAGAACGCGGGGCTGAAATCCTTTGTACAGCAACAAAATGTTGCAGTGCGAACGGTTCCTGTGTGCAGTCCCAGCCACTCTGTTCCCTGCCACAGTCTGCCAGGGTTATGTGGCCACTGGGCATACCTGATCCTGCTGGGCTTTTCTGAGTAGGGGCTGGGATTTCCCCCAATGTGGTTTTCTAAACTTTATTTTGCTTTGTGTTTGGGTTAGTTTTGGTTTGGTTTGTGGTGCTTCTGCAGAACTTGGGAATTCCTCCAAGCCTTTTGATAGCTCCCTTTTCTGAGTGAGTGGTGCTGCCTTGGCCCTTACATCCCGACAACGCTCCAGTGGTTTGGAATGCTCAGAGCACGCCATGCAACTGATCTCAGTGATCCTTACAACCCTGTAAGGTAGGCCAATATAATATCACAGGATAGGTTTTTTTCAGGCTGCTGCTGGGCTCATGGGAGAGGTAAATCAGGAACTTCTTGGTTCATAGTTGATTTTTTAAAAATGCATTAACTTATCCTTCCTCCAAGCATCTTGCACATTCCATCCTTCCATTTTATCCTCACAACAGCCCTGTGAGGTAGGTTATGCTGCAAAATAGCAGCTGGCTCAAAGCCACCTCATCAGCTTCATGGCAGAGTGGAGGTTTTTGCACCTTCTGAATCTGAACCAGCCATCGAATCGTTAACCCACACTGCCTGTTCACTCTCTGTAATCCCGCTCTCCTAGAACCAGTCACTTTTGAAAGTCCTGGGGCACAAACCTGGGCAGGTTTCAGCAGAAAAAGCTGTGGGGGGCGCTGAGGGTCGCAGACCTCCTTTAAGTCGCAACTTGCATAGGATTGCACCTTAATGGATTAAGCTGAGATGCTGTACAAGCTTAGACACAAAGGAGTCGCCAGCATTCCATGAGTTGAAAGGCTTCTTTATGTCCGAACATGCACAGATTTGCTTCCTGAGTCGCTGAATGCAGAAACTGGATCTGCAGGTGTTTTGGACTTCACCTCTCAGGCTTCTGGATTATTGGTTGTGGTGGCAAGGGATTCTCAGAGTGGGATTTGAAACATCTGGAGATCTTGCATCTCCCCACCCAGTTTAATAAATGCATTCTCTGAACCCTTCCCCTATGAGGCAGCGGCTGGCACAACCGGGGCTACGAGGCAGTGGCTGGCATCTCCCAGAATCATGACCGTAAAAGCTCCTGCGTCCTTTGCTTTCTGCGGGACTGGGACTGCTCCATCCCACTGCCCGGCGCTCTACACGGTGGTGGGCAAACCTGCCTTTTCATGTGGAAAGGGTGGCTGGGGTTGCTCGTCAGCAAACCGGGTTGGCCTGGCACGGAGGGAGGAACTGTGTTAGCACAGGGTGTGCATTCGTCCCCACAGCAGGATCCACCCTGACTCAGCCGTGGGAGGCTGCAAAACTCCAGGATGTAGTTGTGTGTTTGCAAAGAAGAAAAGTCCTTGAGCTCCAGCCATGGACAGAGGCCAGTGTGCCTGTATGCACAGGCGCCAGCCAGAGTTTGGGAGCTAATGAGAAGTTGCAGGCTGGCCCAAATCTGCCTCTTTGTGTGCGCTCGCTCGCTCTCTCTCTCTCTCTCTCTCTCTCTCTCTCTCTCTCTCTCTCTCTCTCTCTCTCTCTCTCTCTCACACACACACACACACACACACACACACACACACACACACACGAGGGGGGCGCATAGGGAATGCTTCTACTCTACATGAGGAAAGAAACAGACTGCTACCAGACTGCTGTGAATTCACCCATCTGCCACAGGTATAACTGCAGATCTCGCCACATCCTGTGATCTGTCTTGCAGTTTCCTGCTTCATGGTGCAACCAGGTTGTTTTTTCTGACCCTTTTTTTAATGCTCTTACATGCACACCCCTTTTCGAAGGCCATTTGGATCTCCATACCTGAAGCACACTGGCAGGTTCGCCTCTCTTCTCTGCCCTTCAGAGAAGCAAAACCCAAACAGCCCCTCAGCCCAAGCCTTTGCATGTATCTGTATCTGTTTATGCATAAGAACATCCTAAGCATGAGCGGGTTTGCCTTTTAAGCTTACTGGAATCATGGCACCATCACGACTGTAGGAATAAAAGAGCGTTTTCTCCTGTTTCTGCTGAAGGCATTGACTTGGCAAGGACCACCCACTTGTTCTAGAAAAAGATGGTGTGTTTTCAAAGAAGATAAAGACGGAGAGTACCTGGAGGAAGGCCTTCTCTGTGGTGGCATCCCAACTATGGAATACACTCCCCGGAAAGGTTTGCCTGGTGCCGATGTTATATTCTTTTCGGCATCAGGCAAAACCCTTTATTTTCCCATTATTTTAAAGTTTAATTGATTTTAATTGGGGTTTTAGTATATCCTGGTTGGATGCTGTGGGGCTGTTCTGTTGTATTTATTTATTGGAAGCCATCCCGAGATGTTCTGTAGGGGATGGGATAGAAAAGCTTTTAAATAAATAGATAGATAGATAGATAGATAGATAGATAGATAGATAGATAGATGGAGAACAATCCAATGAGTACCTGCAAGCTCCCTGGCCGTACTTTCTTTGAGAAAACTTCTGTTCCCGGAATGATCATCCTTCCCTGCCCACCTCTGGATGGTGTCATAGTAACACATTCCCAAATGCCAGTGTGCATCGAGGCGGGCTCTGCAGCCGTGCCACCAAAGCGAGCCCAGAGAAGCAATCAGCTGTGCTGATCTGCCGTTCCCATCAAGACCGAGGTGCCCTGAAGCGCTTTTGCACTGCCATCGCGATTGCCCACAAAAATGCATTCTTGCTGAGATAACCTATTTCCTCCACACGGTGCAGAACCTGGAAGCAACACAGTCTTTTCTTTTTGAAAACAAGTGCACCGAACTTGTTGCTTTGGGACAGGCTTTCCCTGGCTGATGCCTCAAGATACGGTGGGCTGCAGTTTCCATTTTTATTTCTGGACACATTGGGGCGGCGGGGGGGCGGTATCAGCTTGGAGAAGGCAGCGGGTCTGGGGGGATGGAGGTGTCCTTGATTTGCTTCATTTTTGTACTTCCCAGCAGCCAAAGCCTGCGGGCAGTGTCCGACAAGTCATAAAATACATTACAAAAGATAAAGAAGAGGGAAAACGTCATAACAGTTCGAGAGATTTCAAACTACATTTTAAGTGCCTTAAACAATTAAGGCACATCTGTGCAACCGGGCCTGTTAAAACAGCTGGCAAAACACCCCCTCCCACTGTGTCCAAAAGTGGCCGGAGAGCTGCAAATTGGAGGCGTTGACACTGCTTGTGAAAAGGTTTCCTTTGGATGATTGTGACAGGCACGTTCGTTGCTTGAAGGGCTTTGTTCCTGCAGATGCAGGAAGTGCACCCAGAAAGTTGTAGTCTGAGGCATCTTGCACAGTAGCAAGTTGTCAAAAGCCAACAGGAATGCAAACCCACATCCGGGTTGTTGTTTTCTTTTTTTTTCATATTAAAATTTCTGATTAAGTTTCTCAGCCTCTAAAACACATGTCTTTCTTTTTCACTGCGGATGGGTTAAGCATGGATACACTTGTACAATCAGTATTTAAAAAATATTTTAATTAAAAAAATTATCCTGCGCTGCAAACAAACATCTCCCAGAGCTGCTTATAAATACCTGGATTATGGCAGTCCCTGGCCCCAAGTTTACAATGTAAAAGGACACCACACACAGGGGAAAGAGGAGGAGGAGGAGGGGGAGGAATAGTCAAAGAAGCAGCACCCTGGGGACTGGTTTTTACAGTTAGCCGTTCTTGGCATGACCAGCTATGATGAAACCAGTCCAGGTGCTCTGATGGACTGGCTCCACAAAGAAGGCCTCGTATTGACGTGCAGTGCATGTGCTCACAAATGCAACCTGCGTTAGGTCTAGGAGGTTTTCCCGTGTGTTGTTGCCATGGCATACAGCTCTTGCACAGGCCCTTGTCCAGTTCAGCGAAGCTTGCATGGGAGAACGTCCTGGTGGATTGCCCGGTCCAGTCGGGCTTACTTCTGTTCCCCTTCTGTGCGCTCGCTGGGCTCACACAGAGGCTTCTTGAGGTATTTTGGTGCCTTAATGGCAGGCACACTTCTATGCTCTCATCTCCTGACTTCCTTTGGAACCACATCCCCCTTTGTGCCCCTCCTCTTCTCCCCTCCTTTTCCTCCCTTTGGCCTCTTTTTGGGCAATTAGTAAGTGACCGGGCTACAACGGTCTGCAACTCCCAAGAGTCTTCTGAAGAACCTAGGTGTGTGAGATTGTGTTTGTAAGATACCAGATTGTGTGGTGTCTTAGAAAGTACAAGTGGTGCTGAAGGTGATTCTTTCTGTGTTTTCTCTGCTCCAAGTGGGCTGTGACCTTGTCTCTCGAAAGGCCATCAGGATGGAGAACAATCGTCCGTGGAGCCTCATCCAGAACTGAATGGTTCCGTCCTGAGACATCTTCCTGTTCCCGTGGCCATGAGTGGATTGCTGGTGCTGGTCTCCTGGCTTGACCTCCCCTTTCCACGCCGCTGATGTGTTGACAGGGCTTACCTGAGAGGCCGTCAAGAGAAGTGTCTGCCTCTAGGCGTGGACAGACTCGACTGGGCACGCTCCAGACCAGCACTTCCCATGGATGTGGACATCTCCATGGACGCCTTGCTGGACCTCAGCTTCCTGACCGAAGAGGAGCAGAATGCCATCGCAGAGGTTCTCCAGAGAGATTCACAGCTCCGGATGCTGGAGGAGGGACGGATCAGGTGAGACTTTCTCAAATGGGTTGGCTCAGGGATGGACAGACGTTCCGTTACCAGGCATGCCTCTCCCCCATCAGGCCCCTCCAGCTAAGCAGGCCCAAAACGCTGGCTTGTGCTAGCAGATGCAGGTTAGGCTTTGAGGAACAGGCTGCCTCAATCTAGGAATATTTTTTCATACCGAACCAAGATTATAAGTCCTTTCATGTAAGTATTGTTTTGCAATATCCTCACCATGTTCTTTTCCAGTGTCCAAATTGGGAAAGCTTTTTAGACAATGGGGAGTCAACTCCCGCCCCCCTCCCCCCATTGCAAACATGCCAGAAATCCCAGTGTTCATTCCATCCACCCCTGGGGCCATCTTGTTGGTCCACCCGCCATCCAGCCTTCAGCTTCCTGAGTGCACCTGAGCGCACTCTCCTGGGGTGATGGCGACCTCTGCCGGGTGGCAACATGGCCCACCCCATTGTCTTCCAATGCTCCCAGCTCAGTGTCCGCTGCAGGCAGGATTGCTGCTTTGGTGGGGCAGTCCTATCTGCTGGTCCCCCACTACTGGCACCTGCCCACCTCTGTCTCAAGGTAAGCTCACTTGTTGCTCGTAAGGGTGTTGCACAGAGACCATGAAGAAGAAAGCTGGGTTGCTTACCTGCAGCTATTGCCCGTGCATTGGTCATCTGTGCGTTCACACAACCTGCGCACCGACCCTGCATCAGTGCAGGTGGCTTTGGCCCCATGCTTTCCTTCGGGCCTGTATCCAGAAGTTGCAAGCTGGCCATTCTCTTGGCTCTCCCAGTTCCAAGGCCACAATGTTGGCCTGGACGGAACTGGGGAAAGGAGCAGGACCCTCTCCTAGATATACCAGTGGAGGGAGGGGAGGGATTCCCACCAGAATGAGTCTAGCTTGGAAGCAACAAGCCCACACAGGTGCAAAGCCATATGTGTGAATGCACAGTTGACCACCCGAAGAAGGATAGTTACAGGTAAGCAACCCACCTTTCACTCTTGCAGAGAGGCAGAAGCTGGCACAAAATGTGTCTCTTTCTTCACCTCAGGTGTGCAGCTGAAAAGGAACTAAACAGCTGGAGAGAAAAATAATTGGCAGTTTCTCTTTCTTTTCTTTGGCAACTGCCCATAAGCAAAACAAGCAGACCTGGCTAGGCTGGTTTATTTGCATTCCTCTCCTGTCTAGCTGGCAACTCCATCCTGAAATCTGTTAACAAAGGAACACATAAAATGCTGGGATGATGCAAATATAATGAAGTTCCCCAGATATGATTCACCTGAGACAGTGGATACTTTGATTTAAGAGGAAGGAATTACGTAGAATTTTTTCTGAAAGTTTTCCGTTATGGAATTCTTTCTTCACTGACTTTAGTGTGGTAGAATTCTGGAAAGATTTCCTTCCTGGGCCAGCTGAAGCAGTCCTGAGATTCCCCGCAAAATTCTAATATATTAGTGTGATTGTGCCCACTTTATGAAATGCCTCCTTTCTATTCCCTCCTACCCCCACATGGTGTTTGGAAAGTGCCAACTGCATTAATTAAAAATCCATCTCTTTTCTGAGACCTTCCCTGATTGTGCTGCTCAGTTTGCTTGCTGTTTATGGTGTGTTGATGAGGTTTGACAGAGGGACCTGTCTGGGGAATGGAAAGCTGTCACATTTCCTCTGTTGGCTCCCTGGATTCCTGGTTGCCTCCCACGTCTTGGCACCGGATCCTTGAGCAAGCTGGCGGACCAACTGCGTGATTTGCATTTTCTTCTTAAAGCACCAGTGAAATCGCTGGCAGCCATTTGCATGAGCCAGGCATTATCTGGGCACTGTGTTTTCCTAAAAAGGCACCTGAAAAACAACTGGCTTGGTGGGACTGGCAAAAATCCCACTCACCAAAGCATTTTCCAGGTGCTGTTTTGTTTAACCATGGCCATTGGATAGGAAGTGGGTACATCCCTAGTTTTTAGCATTTGGTTTAAATATTTTATAAACCTTGCAGGGTTTCTTATGTGTTTTGACCTATTTTGATTTTTTTGTAGACTGCTTAGCTTTTTTTTTTTAGATGTGGTAAGTGGTATATACATCTGCGCTGCAACAAGAGCTTGCAGCATGGAGAACTGCTGTTCAAAATCCCAGGTAGCCACATGTTCTTCCGGTTTTTCTGTTCGATATCCTCAGCCGTCCAACAGGCAGCCCATGACCACTAGGCATGTTCGTTCCTCAGTGGCTTGTTCTCTCCATAAATGTTTGTTTCTAAAAGAGTTTCATGCTTCTACCAACCCTGCGGCCCCCATAGGCCCTGCTTACTCCTCCACCTTTGTATTTAGATTAGGATTCAGACATGAATAATTGCATTTGCTGTTGGTAAACAGCAAGGTTGGGGAGCCTATGATCCTCCTGATGATGTTGGATTACAAATCCCATCATCCTAGACCATTAGCCATGTTGGCCAGGGCTTATGGGAGTAAGAGTCCAACATCTTGTGGGACAGAGGCGCTTCAGGCTTGGTATTGAAGAGGCTAATGTGCAATGTAAGGCAGGTCTACTCAGAAGTAAGTCCCAGCCACTGAGTTCAGTGCTGCATTTTCTCAGGTAGGTATGCGCTGCCTGAGATTTTGTTCCTGGGTAAAGCAGCATTCCAACTTGTCGTCTTTCTCTCCTTCTGCCTCTAGCAAACTACGTGAGTCTGTTTCTGATCCAAACTACCTGAAGTTCTTATCCGGGGACTGGTTCTGCGATGTCCGTTCGAAGCGGCACTGGCACAATCATTTTGGTTCCGACATCGTCCGGGCTTCGATCCGCCGGAAAAGGAAGCCCAAAGGTAAGAGACAGACGCTGCCCGGCGACTCTGTGTTTGACAATTCACTGTCCTCTTGAGGTTTTCCAATCTGCCCAGATAACATACAGTTTTGGGTAGAGTAAAAAACACAGTGGAGAAAACTAATGATTACGCACTTTGCTGCAAAACACCTTCCTGGAAAAATGCCATGTATCTTGTTTTCTGCTCCTAACCCTCAGAAAATAAAAGGGGAGCAACCTTGCGTAATACTAGGAGAGCTGCTTTACTGGCTTAAACCACATGGCCATGGTGCTCTCCAGGTGTCTGGGACATCACTGGCATGCTGGTTATTGAGGTGATGGGAGTTGCAGTTCACAATCAGGGATCAGCATCTGATGATGAGGAAGAACTCATCTGGTCCATCGTTGCATTTCTTGCTGTGGCCAGACAGATGCTTTCAGAATTTCTTGGGGGCGAAGGAAGTGGGCGTCTCCTTTTGTGGTTTGTCCCCAGGAGCTGGTGATTGGGAGGGATACTATCCCTGCACATGGAGGTCCCATTTGAAATCTGAAATGAGTTACATTGCAAAACAGCTTTCGGGGCACATGTTTGGGTTGGCTCATTTTGGAGCCTCCCTTCCCTTCCATGTGCCTCCTTCATTCTGTCGTTTCCTGTAACTAAGAGTTCTTACCAAAGAAAGAAGTCCTAGGCCAATATTTTTAAGGGTGGAAAGTCCATATATACTTAGTAGCTTCAATGTTTAGAACAGCTTTCCCCCAGCCTGGCACCCTCCAGAAGAACTGGGCTACAGTTCCCATCATTCCCAGACATACCTGGGAAGCGGTACTCCATCACAGTTGGAAAACACCAGGTTGGGGGAGGCTGGTATGATGCATTCCTTTAAAATGAGTTGATTTCCCTGAAAGAGATGCAACTGTCGCCATGATGAAACAGGTGAATGGGCACTGAAGCAACAAGCCAGCTTGGGGGATTTGGAGGTGATCTGCGAACCCACCACTGAGGAAGAGAAGGTGCCAGATGCTGTGGACAGGTGAGAAGCTTTGCCAGTGGGGTGTAGACGGGAGGCCCCTTCTGCTTGGAAATGGCCAAGCAGCAACTGTTTCTTGAATGGATAGCAGCCTCAATGAGGGAGTGTTCCTTGAGGAGGCTGTAGACAAGGATTTTTCTTCCTTCCTTTCTTCCTTTATTTGGAAAAGGGTCAGCTTAACAGGACCTTACAGAAGCTCTTTATCGTGCATGAATAATCCGGTGCAGGGTTGGAGCTAAGAAGCTGGGCAGCACTGAGTCACGCAACCAATGACCCGGTTTAGCAAAAAAGGAAATTCACTCCAGGCCGTTATCTTTTGTCAGCCATTTTTACTCCCCCTGTGGGCTGCACTAGGCTGAATGAATGAATGAATGAATGAATGAATGAATGAATGAATGAAAGCTGCTTTGCTGCCGAAATTCAGCAGCAAAGCACGCCACGGTGCACAGAAAATGGGTTAAATTTAGCTTGGTTTGCAAGCTACAGTTTACACTTAGCTGCTACAGAAACTTTTAGAGCTCTATTTGTAAACATTTGTATCAGTTTTTGAGTTCTGAGGCAGCAAGAGGTGTTGAACCACCCAAAGGGGTAGTGGAAGACCCCGTTTGACCTGAGGGCTACCTGTTCTTAGGTTAGACTGTTGAATTGCTCCCAAGGAGGGTAGAGCTCCAGCCTCCTCTGAGCTCTGCACTATACGGGGTCAGTCTAAGCTATATGGGGTCCAGTCAATGGCCCAGGCATCTCTTTTGATGTGCATCAAGCCACCGGAATGTCCTGATTTTTAAAATGTGCTTTAGCGTCTGTCAAGCAATGCAATGCAACAGGGGTGCCAACAGCATCCTTTCACTAATGCCCCTGGTCCCCAGCTGGTTTTGCCAGCGTCTGTGTTTCTGTGGGTTGTGGTTTGTGAGGGCAAATGTATTAACTGTTGTGAGGTGTTGTTTTGTGTTTTGGTATCATTTTCCACTTGTTTTATTCCCTGGACATTTTCAGAACTACTGCAAAATGCCTAAAGACCAAACAGTAGATCCCAACTCACCTTTTCCCCCTTCCTTTGGACTATCTAAAGTCCTTTTACAAAGAGGGCTTAGAGCTACTTCACGCTACTTCTTAGGGATATACGTTTCAAAATGAGGAAGTCTGTGCATATGAGAAGCATGTTATTGCTCTCTCTGTGTGTGTGTGTGTGTGTGTGTGAGAGAGAGAGAGAGAGAGAGAGAGTTGAAATTTATGTATTTCATTCTTATACTGCCCAATAGCCAAGGCTCTCTGGGCAGTTAACACAAGTTTAAAAACACACACACACAAACACAGAAACAAGATAAAATTAACTTAAAACAGCAAAAACACCATAGCAATTGCAACTGAATTAGCGTAGAAGCATAGCAGTGAGAAAATAAAATGCAATATTAAAAAGAATAAAGTTGAAAAGTTAAACTGTTAAAAGGTTAGGTGAATAAAAAGGTTTTCATCTGGTGCTGAAAAGCATATGGTGGCCTTAAGCGCATTGTTTTGGGGAGCTCGTTGCACAATCGAGGTGCCATCACCGAAAAGTCCCTCCTGCTGGCAGCCACCCCCCAGTCAGAAAATCCAGAGTGGGAAGCCTATTCCTGCCGAATGGCCTCCAGCAAGAGGGGGCCTCACTCCTGGTTTCCATACTGCTCCACCATCTTGGTTGCCTTTCTCTGGATCTCTTCCCATCTTTCTTAAAACCTGGTGCCTGGAACAAGTCACAGTGCTCCAGAAGTGATGTCTGACTAGTGCCGGCAAAAGCGGAGCAGAGGTTGCTACTTGGTTTTGTGCAGTGCTTGAAGGTCCTTTAACTGCTGGGGCTCGAGAGAGCCAGGGGTATCTTTAGAAACTGGACAGCCCTCTGAGTGGGATGGTGTGAATCGATGTCCTGCAGCAGCAGCGGTTGCACCTGATGGCCTTCATGGCCCCGTTCAACTCTCCTATTCTATGATTCTTCCTGAATCTTGAAGCAGCAGAAGGTTAGGTCTGGTCCTTGGGCAAAGGAGGGAAAAACCAGCGTATTATCAACCAGAGACCTTGCCTTGAAAGAATCTTCACCTCTCCGTTTCTTCATAGCATACCGAGCGACTTGGCTACTGCTCAACCAACCTGTCCAGAAGTGGCTCAGGTGAGCTTGCTTGATTCTTGCTGCCAACTTCAGCCTTCTTTTTATAGAAGGGCATCTAGTATTCTAAATTCTGGTTCTTCCTCCTGTTGGCTTTTTTGCACCTGTATTTTAAAACTTGCTTGCAAAATCCAGGAGTGGAACCAAGCACTTTTTAGACACTGCAAACTACCTTCTGCTGAATCAGCCAGTAACTTGTCCTGCATTGACCTCGGCTGAAAGTTGGAGCTGGGAGTCTGTGTGCAGAAGAGCCTTTGGTTTGGTCCTCAGCATCTCTGGGCTTGCTGGAAAAGACTCCTGGGGAGTCATTGCGGGGCTGTTGAGTCCTCCATCCACTGAACTCCATCGTGGAGAAGTTTTCAGGGGAGTCATTCCAGGAGTGGGCAGGGCTGAAGGCGAAATGAGGCGGAACCGAACGCCAAGGGGAGGGGCAACGGATGAGCCGGTTTAAGCTGAAATCTCTGGCGGCGTCTCAGTCTTTTACACAACGGCAATGCAGAGGGAGGCAAAAGAACAGAGAAACTGCAACATGATGATGGGTCAGGGCAGAGGACGGGGCCACCTGGGGAACCTGGTGGGTAGGAGTGGGAATCCAGGTGGGCCAGAGGTGGCCCACAGGCCTGAGTTCTGTGCACCTGGTGTAGAGGATTCTGAGCTGGATGGAGCTCATGGCCCATGTAGACACCTTTGGGCTCGTTGGCACAGCTTTCGACAGCAGCCTTGCTCAGGCCAGCGCCCTGTGTGTCCTTCCGTTGGCCATGCTGCCCGGGGCAGATGGGCGTTGACACCCAAAATGTCTGGAGGGCCCCAGGCTGGGTAAGGCTGCCCGAAGCGGGAGTGCATAAGTTAAGGGCTCCGTGGAGTTCCCCCTTCCTGCGCTTCTCCTCGCCTACTTTGCATGACTGGAGAGAGTGGAGGCAGCAGAAAGAGGCTGCAAGGATCAACAACAGGCCCTGGTAGGTGCCCAGCTCTGCCCGCTTGTGATGCTGCTCCTTCCAGTACGGACATGGGAGCAGGCAGTGCGGCTGCAGATTTCAAGTCCCGACACAAAATGTCAGGATGAGCACCGCTTTTCAAAACACCCCAGTTCCTCATTCTGGAGCGTGATGTTTCTTACTTTGGAGCAGGGAAGGTGCACTTTTAAAACTTGTTTTTAAATGCACAAGACAGAGGCTTTTCATGCTTTGTATATGCAAATATCTCAAGAAGCCTGAAACTGGCTGCTTTTGCTGCTGCTGCCATTTGACAGGTTGCTTGGACTGTGCAGCTTTTTCCTTGGAATTGAGGGAGACAGGAATGGGGTGATCAGAATTTAAATACATTTCCAGGGTTAAGCTGTTCTCTCTCTCTGCAGGATGTGACTCAGCCTCAGGAACCAGTGACTGAGAACAAGACAGGTAAAAGCAATAAGCAACCATACAGACATCTGCAGTGTCTGAGGAAGTGAGGGGCAGAGTGGAGCTGGAGGGCAAACTCAACGCAATGGATATATGTTTTTGCATTGAAAGCACATTGGGGGGAATTAAACAGCCAGCATTATAGACGGACAGAATTGGGATTCCAGTTGGCAGAAGGGGGCGTTCCACACGGCTTTGGTCTGCCCTGACTCCCCAGTTCTCCTCCCTCCTCCATCTCTGATTTTCTGCATCGGAGAGGAAGTTTCCATTTGCCCCAGAGAGAACGTCCTTCCAATTCAAATATGAGTGTCAGAAGAGAGATTTTTGTTGGGCTGCTGCAATGGGAGGGAGAAGGAACGCCCCCTCTTTTCCTGCCATTGGCGAGAGCATCCACAGCAGCCCACTGAGGACTGAGAATGCTTACTGATGAGTGTCTGCTTCCAGGGTGAGCGGAATGGGAGCCCCCAGGTAAAGGAATGGCTGGGTGGAATTCCGGACAGGTCCATTCCACACTGCAGCGTTTTGAGGTGCCCCCGTTTGAGCTGCATCCTACTGCTTAATGTTACATTTCAGACTTGCTGAATGTCCATGTTCCAGGCGTCACCAGCTCTCTTTTTCCCTTCCAGAGAGAAGCGATTCATTTAGCAGCCTGAGTTCAGAGGCAGAGGAGGAGAAAGAGGAACGGCAGAGTGATCCCATACCAGCCATCACAGCCCCAGTGCAGGTATGAAGGCTGAAGCCGTTGCTAAGCAACCGGATACAGGCTGCCCTCTTGGTTGCTGTCCAGGTCAAGAGTCACGGCCCAAGTGAGACACCGGGGTGTTCTGAGGAAGATGCCTCACGGGGTTGGATTGCCTTGGGCAACCTGAATTTTCAGCCTCAGTTCTCTTTCCGAAAAGGGGAGATGCGAATGGCTGGGTTTGTGGGCTTGTTTTGAGGATTGGTGGTGGAAAATGCTTCCAACTACGAGTCCTCCAGGTTGCATAGCTCTGAGGAAATCATATATTGGCTTCCTGGCCGCAGAATGTGCACGTCTGTTCTGTCATGCTAACTGATGTGCTGCTGACCGTGGCTTTAGCTGGTGGTGGTTTTGTGCCACCAAGTCATCGCCAACTCACGGTGACCCCATGAACGAACGTCTTCCCAAATGTCCTGCCCTGATCAGCTCTCAAGGCCGTGGCTTCTTGTATGGAATTGACCCATTCCATGGCTGGCTTTCCTCCTCCTCTTCTCCTGCAACTTTCCCCAGCATTTCTGCCACCTCCAGCAAGCCTTGCTTCCTCACGAGGTGCCTGTTTACTTGGCTGGGTGCTCTTTTTACATTGATCTGTCTGTTTTCATTGCTGGATTGTTAATTCTTCTTGATTGGTCCATGTGTATGTTTTTATTTTTCTCATTATTGATAGCTGCTTTGATGCCATCTTTGACAGAAACACAGTATATAAATATGCTAAATAAATAAGATGCCTGCCAGCAAAACACACAGACACACCAAACAGGAGGGGGAAGTTTTGCGTTCTGTTGCAGGTCTGAAGTTTTTCGGTGACTCTTTTGGCAGAAGGCTCCGTCCAGCACTGCCATCTCCGCATGCAACAGCCTGCAGTTCGAAGTCCACCAGGTTGACCCAAATGCACCATTGCCACACTGTAGAACAGTTAAAATAAGCTCTCTGCCCCCACCTGTTTTCTATCTTCAGAGTAACGGGAGCCTTGGAAATGGCCAGGAAGGAGCTTTGAGTTTGACACCCCCAAAGAACAACGCGATGCGTCCACGGAAGAAGCTGCTGAGCGCCAGCTCTTCGTTCTCCAGTCTGAGTTCATCCACGGTAAGTGATGTGGGGTTTGCATGGACAGCGTCTCGCCAGCTGGGACAGCCTTCAGCACAAAGCTTGGGTAAAGTGTGGCCCTCCTTAGCTTCTGGTCTGTGATTTGCATCAGTCCTAGCCAGCATAGGCAATGGTGATGGAAGATGGGAGTTGTAGGTCAAAATATCTGGAGGACCAGATCCCAAGTCGCTCAGCCCTGCCGAGCTGAGCAGAAAATGAGCTAAAGAGAACATGATTGCCTCCTGCTTGGCTCATGATTCCCACCCCTCTAGGACTATCTGGTTCCTCAAAACGGAGAGGGGGGTTTCTGTGAGACCACATGTGCTGGGGGTGCAAGCAAAGACAGCAAAATGGCAGTAGGGCAGAGGAGGAGAAAGGGGGACAAAACTGTCGGAAGAAGAGGGAGCTGTGCAAATGACCGGTTGGTTCCAAAACGTTTAGCCTGCTCTGGGGCTGCCACCTGACCCACCTATTTCTGCAATTCCCCAAGGGACTCCTTAAAATTGGCACTAGGAGCGCTAATTGTGCAATGATTTGACTCCACGGACACATCCGAGTTGTGCCTCAGAGCTCATCTTCTCTTCAAGGTTCAGGTTTTACTGAGTGCCCAAGAAAACGATTGCAGTACCGAGCATGGTATCCTTTGTACCAAGTACATTTGTGGATGTCGAGCAGTTTTTGGCTGGTGTCTTTTCATTTGCTTGTTTAGGCTTATTATGGAGAGTTTTTAAGAAGCCCAGGTCCTCCTTGAACTTGCCTTCTCCCGTGGGCCTCTTTTCCTGCATCTTTGCCCGATGTTTGGATCCCATCTCTTCCTTCCCATCTCATCTCACCTCTTCCTCTTCCTCTTCCTCTCCCCCCGCTTGCTTTCTTGCAGATGAGTGGCAGCATGATGAGTGTATTCAGTGACAACGATATTGGGAATGTGGAAGTCCGTGGCTGCATCCAGTTCTCCCTGCAGTATGACTCCATGAGGAAGGAACTTCATATCCAAGTCATCCAGTGCCGAGACCTCGCCGAAGCCAAAAAGCAGCGGTCAGATCCGTAAGTTTGGGCTTGGGCCTGCTTTCACTACTCCTCTGTTAACTTGCATGCCGGTCCCTTGATCCATCCAAATGGGAAAAGGTAATGGGTGGGTCACTTTTCAGGGGAAGCATAACTCCTCCTCCTAAGGACTGTGGAGCTCGCTATCCTCCCTCGGATGGTGAACTCGGAGGGTGAGCGCTGACAGAGTGGAGCCCGAATGGGCCCTTGGAAAAATGAAAGGGAGGCCTTGGCAGGCATAGGGGAATCCTCAGTTTTGCAAAATCACATGTGTAACTCCGCCCCTCCACAAAAAAAAAAAAAAAAAAACCCTAAGGGAGTGACCTGTCCACCCTCAAAATGAATTCTGAGCATATTCAGTGGCCTCCAAGTACTACAGGTTGTGGAGTGTCTGTTGGGAAGGGGAAGCAAAGCAATGCAAAGAGAAGAAGTGGTGGAAAAGAAGTAGAAATGGTCTGCTGGAATTCCTTACTGCTCATAGGATCCTTGGGAAGGGCAGCTCTGGGGAGAACATGGAACAAGAGCACTTTTCTTAGAGGTGAGGTCACGCTGCAACCCTTGACTGCAGTTTCCACTTGTATATTCACTCAGATACATTGATCGATTGCACTGAATTCTTCCTCCTTCTGGCAAGGTATTGGGCAGAATCCTCAGCCAGAAATATTGGGCTGTGGTACCCAAGGGCATGCTTAGAGTCATTTCTAATGCATGCTCACAATAGCAAAAATGCAAATGCCGGGATTGAAAGATACCTAATTAAGGAGAAGTAATTGCATGGTTAAAAGGGGAAAGGCTATTCAAGGCACACAAATTGGCTTCAAGAGTATTTATACGGAAGGGCAGGATATAAAATGTACCTAGTAAGGAATAAGGAACAAAGAGCCCAACTGCAGAAGAACCGAGGATGCTGGAGGCCTTGGTGTAATCAATGAACTAGTAGCAGCTCAGCATCATTTCCAGCAGTGGCCTCCCCAGCCCTGCTTGGAGATGCCAAGTATATTGGTCCTGGGAGCTTTGGAATGCAGTGCAGGGGCACCCAATCAACAAACGGAATCAGATTAGTCTGGCAGGATTTCATTCTTGAGAAATCCGTGTTGGCTTCACGTGAGAGCTCCCTTCCTTGTATTTTCCTGCTTTAATCCACTTGCCTCCACTCTCCCTTAATCTTCCTGTCCCTTGGTCAGCTTTTATTCCCTTCTTGTTGTCCTTTATTTGCCTGAAAGCGACTGTAGTACTTTTAACGTGGCTCACTTTAGCAAAGATCACTACCATTGCAGCAGAAGAAAGCAACAGCATCTCCACCATTGCCTTTGTGTTGCTTTCCCTCTCAGGTATGTCAAAACCTACCTCCTTCCTGACAAATCAAATCACAGCAAGAGGAAAACTGTTGTCAAAAAGAAGACTCTGGACCCCATCTTCAATGAAACCCTAAAGGTGAGGAGGGAGAGGCTGCCTTCCCTGGTGCAGAAGCATCCTGCTTTGAAGAAGGATGTAGAGCAGTGGCGGAGAAGCTCAGGCCCAGGGTGGCAGTCTAACCTTTTGGAGTGGCCCAGGTGGCTACAGCCCCTCCCCACAACCACCCAGCATTAGGTGGCTTCCCAGATTTTGTGCACCCCCCCTTTCTAATGGTTGCAATACCTCTCCAAAGGCTCAGAGGCAGCAGATAAACTGCCAAAAAATAAAATAAGCTGGATTTTTTTCATTGTTGGCACCACTGCTTTTGTCTTGGTCTTCATCAAAGCCAATTGAATAAAGAAGCCTTGACGCTTCATGCAGAGGCTGGAATGAGGGAGCCTGGCGGAAGGAAGTTCCACAGATACCTTCAGCCTTAAGGTAGCTGCCTGAAGTTTGATGACAAGAGTGAAGAGCTTGAGCAGTGCTACAGAGTTTGTGCGCTGTGTCGTCGCACACTGGATTATTGGCATGTTCTGAACTGTTGTTTTCTGCATCCTCCTTCCCTCCTGCTGCACCTTTCTTGCCTGTCACTGACTCTGCAGTACAAGGTTGAGAAGGCTGAACTCCAAGGCCGGATCCTGAACCTGTCCGTCTGGCATCATGATGCTTTGAGCCGGAACCTGTTCATGGGAGAGGTGGAGATTGCCTTGAACACCTGGGACTGGAGCAACGTGGGCCCTCAGTGGTTCAACCTCCAACCCAGGGTGAGCATCCACGCTTGCTTTCCGTTCCACTCCCCTTCAGCTTTGCCCCGTTCCTCCTGGTGTTCTCTCCCTGCAGAACGTTCATTGCTATTTCCCAGGTGATGGGTAGGGCTGAGTGTATGTATGTGTAGCGTTTATATTGGCACTCATCCCATGAAGCACCTGCAGAAGGCATTCTGTAGCATCAGAGGAGGGGCTTTGCTTGCATGTGTGGTGAGGAGGAATTGTATTCAGGGCTCAGTTCTCCCCACAGTGGTGCTATTTCACACTGCAGGTGGGTATTTGTATGCTCAAATGTTCTTCCATGAAGAAAACTAGATGTCAGAGATAAAGGCTCTAGCCTCCTCCTTGAATGCCTAGTTTTCCATGTGCAGGGAACTGACTTCATGTGGTTGATTCTCTGAGTGCCCACCTGAGGCCTGCAATTCAAAGCCCAGGCACAGGTTTGCAACCTTGACATGGACTAGTTTCTTTGTTTTGCAAGCAGTGTTCAAAATGCTGTCAATACAACTTCCTCTTCCTGCCTTCAGTTTCATGTAATACCAGAATGGGAATTCAGCTTCTGTACATTTTTGGTCAGAGTGTTGATCTCTGGAACAGGAGAGCTCAGAGGAGAGTTCCAACAGCGTTGCCTCCCGGTTGTTAGTGGTGTGGGTGCTTGCTTTGTGTGTGGAAGGTCACAGGTCCAGTTTTCTCACAAAGCCAAGCCAGCAGCGCTGTTGCTTCTTTTGCAATGGTGCAGTTTCCAGGTTGCAAAAGAGCCAGGCCTGCGTGGATGCTGCAATCCGGCTGGAGCACAAAAAAGCAGTCCTGGGCCTCAGTTCTATCTGCCTGAAATTTTTTGGCATCTCAGTTAAAGAAACTTGGGTAGCAGAGCCAGCAAAGATCTCGCTTGAGACCACAAGAGCAGCTGTTGTTCAGAGCACCCATCACAACTGGGCTAGGCTGACTTCAGGGTAACATATTTGCTGCCACTGGTGCTGTGTGTGTGTGTGTGTGTGTGTGTGTGTGTGTGTGCGCGCGCGCGCACACACGCATGGAATTTTAAGGGAGGCAAAGCTATGTGGGGATATGTGTCATTTATTGGATGGAGAGTCCAGATTTAGCCATACTTAGAGAAGATCCATTGCTTACACCAAACCCACTGAGATCAGTGGAACAAGCTGGTCAGCACTGATTGCAAGCCCCCTTGATCTTAATGCATCGACAGTAAAATTGATTCAAGCTGCCCCAAATCCAAAATCCAGTAGCTACGAGCAGGGCCAGCAAACGGCCACCTCACGCTTCCTTCTCATGCCCCAGCCACTGACGGTTACGGGCAGCAAGTGCCTGCTTCACTGCTTCAGGGCATGACAAGACATGTTCAAATGTGGGCCACACGCTAGGATCTGCACTGGATCTGAAAGGGCGGCCAGGCAGGCCCACACCCCACAACCTGCTCCAGCCCCTCCGGCCCCGGGCTCTTCAGACATGCATTTGTATCCCAAACTGCAGCACTCCACCTGGGAACACAGTAACTGTTCTTAGTGCCTGAGATAAGGAAAGGTAGCCCAGGGCGGGCGCTGCCTGCATGCCTGCGAGGCACCTCTGCAGAATGTCCTGGGAGGACAGGAGCCAGCGTCCCTGTCCCTGTCCCCGCTCCCCTTTCCACTGAAGTTCCCCAGGACACCAAGTGCGCCTGAAGGGCATTTGCCAGTTCAGCCCAGGCAGCTGCTGTGCTTTCCTGCCAGAGCCTGGAAGAATTGTGTTGGCTGAGGTGGCACAGCAGCCCTTGGCGGAACATTGTGCAAACGGTTGTGTGTCGCCCCCTCCCCCACCGCACCCTGCTCTGCTTCCTTTTGAGCATTGCAACACTTTCTTACGAATAACACCTGGAAGAGGGTTTGGTGGGGGAGAGAGAGCTGCATTTGCGGGGCCCTTAGGCCAGGCAGGAGGAGGCAGCTGCTTTAGTTGCTGGGCGGAGGGGCGTCATTCTGACCTGGTCTGGCCAACGGGCCCAATCCCTCACTGAATTCCCCATCGTGCAGTGCAGCACATCAGATACAGCGTCAGATAACCCCAGCCCCCTGGCAGAGTTGGAGCAGTGCTCCATCCATCGCCACTGGTTGCATCCACCAGGGCTGACCGTCAGTCAGGTGGACAATTAGCTCAGGGCCCCCTCAAACCCGCAAACAGACCTGATGCAATATATTTCTGAAGTTCTGTTTATGACTCAATTCCTGCTTCCTCATGGCCTGTTTCCCTTGCTCCTCTTGCAGGCTCCAGTTGTGCCTGAAGTTCTGTCCAGCCGTGGCAAGCTCAACCTGGCCCTCAAGTTCATCCCGGCGGGATCAGAAGGTGAGACTGGGGCTCTGCTTCCTTTCAGCCCCCTCCCTGCCATCTGGGTGTCTGTGTTGGTGTTGGTGGGGGTGGGGGTTTAATGCCCACTTCTAAACCCTTCAGAGCAATTCTTAGCCAATTTCAGTGGCAGGGCAAAGGATCCTTAATGGTCCCAAATGTAGCAATCAGCGTGAGGGAAACCAGCCCTCCAAAACGTGAGGGATACCTCTATCAGACTATCCTTTGCAGCGGTGGAGGGCAGGCCAAATGCTCTTCCCCGCCTAGCTGCCATGGGCTTCTGCATTGGGGCACCCACCAGAATTGTGGACTTCAGCCCCCTTCTGTTCCAGCCATCAGGGCAGGTGGACAGGGATGATGTGAATTAATTGGAGTCTAAAACATCTGGAAGGCACCAGGCTGGGAGAGACTGCTTAGAGCCCACCTTGTCTGTCTTGCACCTGCGGGATCTGACTGTGGGTGGAAGCTCCTGGTGGGAGGAGAAGGGCTGCATTTAAAGGCAACTGGCGTTGGGCTGGGGCAGAGGCTTTGGCCTCCAGGGTCACCTCCATTCACGTGGCTTTTTTTGCAGAAAAGGGGCTTCCTCCCACCGGCGAACTGCACATCTGGATCAAGGAGGCACAGAACGTTGTTCCCCGCCGGGGTGGTACCGCGGACTGCTTCGTGCAGTGGTGAGTGGCAGCCCCTTCCGTGGTTGCGAAGGGGCAGGGCAGCCGTCCCTGACCTGGCACCCTCCAGATGCTTTGGACTTCGGTTCCCAGCAGCGTTTTCCAAAGGGTTGTTGGGAGCCGCAATCCAAAACATCTGGAAGACATCAGGTTTGGGGGGGCAGCGAGGAGGAGGAGGGATCCCAGGGGTTCAGCCAGCCATCAAAGTACAGTCAGTGTCTGAATGCATGTCGTGCCACTTTAGGCTGTGAAGAGTACACCTGCAATTTTTTGAATTATACCTCTGGTATAAAACAATGTCTCCTTGCCAAGAGAAAAGCCAGTGCAGCAGACAAAGCTTATCCTTTGTGTTATCCTGTGATGCCCATTTTCAGTCAGTCTGTAGGGAGGTTTTTTGTTCACAAAGAATTACAATGAAAACTGGACTCCACCTGTACTCTAAAGTCTATTCCGCCACCTCAGAACTCCCCCATCTGCTGCTCTTGCATGTTCGGACTCTAATGAGCTGCAGTTGGCACAGGTGGTCCTTTTTTGATTTAGCGCAAGAGTCAAACTAGATCTGATGCAGGAATTCAGGTGCAGTGGCCAACATCTTGAGCGTTTACAAAGAGGTGAAATCCAGATTGTGGCCGTTCTCCCACTGCGACTTGCCCTGCGGAGGTTCCAAGTACGTAATGCAGGGCTGTGCGTTTCCGGGTGCCCATTTCTCCTTAGCTGGGACCAATAACAATGCTGGGCGGGGGGGGGGGGGGTGATTTCGAGCAGCATAGGCAAAAAGGGTTAGCCATACTCCTGGCCTGCCCTCACATGGCACGGTCCCAGCGCAGATCAGCTCATCCTCCAAAAAGCTCAAGCTGGAAGCGAATTGCCTTGCCTGTGCACAATTGCCTCACAATTGTGAGACAATGTATGCACAAGTGCAGAGACCATTATGCACAAGTGCAGAGACACTTATGAGGCCAAATGCAGTGGGCTGCCTCAGGTAGTCAGTTCTGGAGGCTATTAAGGACAACAGAGCATGAGAAAGAGAACAATACATGGAATTTCAGCCACAGGGCACAATTCACTAGGAAGCTCCCTGTGCAAGCCTGTTGAAATGAAGCAGAGCTTCATATGCAGGCATGCCGTAGCTGACTGAACTGGCATTGCTGGAAATGCCCATGTTTGCTTTGCATTGCACTGGTTCCTTGAAAGATGGCACAGGCCAGGAGGCTGGGAACCTTAACCATTCTTAAGTCTGGCACATGTGCCTGCTAATGCTGGCAACATTACTTCCCAGGAGTGAGCGCTGCAGGGCTCCAGGTGGCTCAGCTTTGTAACTACAAAGAAGGCTGCCATAGGAAGTCCGACCCTTGATTGGACTAGCCCAGTATGGTGGACACTGACTGGCAGCAGCCCTCTGGCAGGGGTTTGTCCAGCCTTAGCTGGAAATGCTGGCCACTGCATCGAGACACTTCTGCATGCAAAGTGGGGGCTCTACCCTGAGCCACGGACCCTCCTGTCCAGTCCAGCTCTTCCCCAAAAATCCGCTGACCTGAAAAAGACCCATTAACTTTCCAGCTACATCCTGCCCGATGACAGCAAGAGGAGCCGCCAGAAGACCCGCATCGTGAAGAAGAGCCTGAGCCCCATCTTCAACCACACCATGGTCTACGACGGCTTCCAGGCCAAAGATCTGGCCGAGGCATGTGCGGAGTTCACTGTCTGGGACCAGGAGACCTTCTCCAAGCAGCGGCTTGGCGGCATCCGGCTAAGCCTTGGCACAGGTGAGATGCTGGGCAGGACTGTTGGCTTGGATATGAACATCTGTTTGTAGGAGAGTCTCTGGGTGGGTACCACATTCAGAAGCAAGTGTCGCACCTCCATAGAGGTGAATGGTCAGATGTATGCCTTGTCAAATCAAAGAAAGTAAAATGGCTTCGTTTTAGTCCAAAGGCCTCAGCAGAGGGGGAGGGTGTAGACCTGTGTGCATATAGTTGGAAGTACCGAATTTACATCTGAGTAATTATGCATATGGTCAGGCAGTTGGGCGTTAATAGGTACAGGCTGAGCTTTCCTGGGGGCAAGAAGCAGCGATAGTTTTGTTGGGAGTAGAGAGGAAATGTTATAATTTCCTCTGGCTTTCATCTGTCAAGGGTGTGATCATGTAGTAGCAATGTCTGTAAGCACCCAGACTTGGAAGCTTATGGCATCCTACCCAGAGCAAGACCAGCAGTGATGGAATTCCTACATTCTGCTGCACATTTCCCACTTTTTTGCCCATCTATCTTGGAAGAGGACGGAAAGAGGCGGGAGTGGCTGAGGGATACTTCGTATGCTGGCCACTGCCATCTCCCCGCCTCCCAGTTGTGGAAGCACCCCTTGGCTCCCACCCAGGACCACTTGGCTGAGCTGAGAAACAGCTGGTGGGGTGCGCTCCATGCTCACTGCAAAGAGGAAGGGGGCGCCGCAGAATGCAGCTTCCCAGCTGCAAAGTCAGAGCCTGCCTCAGAGTGTTGTCTCTGATCTCAGACCTGGAATCCAAACTAGCCTCCGGTCCCTCAGATGCTGTCCAAGGGCCATGGGGCTGCAGCTTCAGGATTGCTCAAGTCACGTCAGTACCTGTCTCCTTTTCCTTAGCAATCCACCCTTGAAGCCAGAATGCAAGCACTGGCCTGCCTTGCCTTGCTCCCAGGCGGCCATTCACCGCAAAAGGCTTTGAGGGGCGATTTTCTGCGGTGAAAACAGCATGGGGAACAGCAGCATTTCAGGCTGCATCAGCAAGCTCGGGGTGGCCGTGCCCATTTCCACAGCATGGAGCCATGATTCCACGCTGGGTCTGCTGTGGAGAATTAGGGCGGCTGCTCTCGGGCCCAGGCTCCTGGCACTGATCAGAAAGCAGGGAGAGAGGATTGCATGGAGGGGAAGCAGGGCAGGGGCCGAGAGCAGGGCCCCCCAACGCCACCCGTTGCCCACCCTGCTCTCTCGACAGTCCAAGTGATGGACGGGACGCTTGGTTTTCCTGCAGGGAACAGCTATGGCCTGCCAGTCCCCTGGATGGATTCGACGGAGGAGGAACGCCACGTCTGGGAGATGGTCTTTGCGAACCCTCAGCAGTGGGTAGAAGCGGGACTTCCCCTGAGGACTGATTTGAGCCCTAGGACCTAATCTCACAGCTGGGCCACTTTGTAGCGGAACACCTGTGCCCGGCAGGATGATGGGGGAAGAGCTGATCTGTTTCTGCAATCGGGGACCCGATGGATGTCGAGGGGAGCTCGCCATAGACTCCAGAACTTCATGGGGACAGCAGGGCTGCTTTGGGAAGGGCCGGGCCTGGCAGGAGACAACGGTACAAGGGCCAGGAGCCCACTGGGGCAGACTGAGGTGGGACCACTGCCCTCTGTGCTTGAAGGAGGCTGTTACCCAGGAGTGCAGGAGGTGAGTGTGCAGAGCTCCCGGGGAAGGATAACCTGAGCAGCCACCGTCGTTTTGGGGCCAGGGCATGGGAATGCCCCACGACAACAGCCACACACAGTGCTGGCTGGTCCTGATTTTAGTCCCTCACCTTCCCAGTCCTCACGCGCAATCAACCTTGACAAATACCATTTCCTCCACCTATTTTTATTAATGTTCCTTTTAAGTCCTTTGCATCACAACCTCCTTCCACGTGGTGCCCACTTTCCCTCTTGCTCTTCAGGAGGGGGATGCTAAGGCAGCAGGCATGTTTCTCCTCTTCTGTACTGGGCCAAGACACCTAAACCGGCGCAGTTTGGTTTGCAGGTGCCAGAGGCCAGGAGGAGGAATTCTATCTGGCATTACGGTTTAGGCCTCATTGGCTACAATTGGATTCCAGCAGCAGTCTTCTGCTTCTGATCCCAGAGCAGCCCCCTCCCCATGATGCCTGCAGGGCCGCAAGACTCCTCCTGTCCCTTTCCTTTCGAGATTCAGCCCAGTGGAGGAATCTCTATTTCTCAGTCCAGAAAAAGAGTTTGCATTGCAGGTATCAGCAGAGGCTCTTCCATAGGAACGGACTCTGAGGTTTTTTCTGACCCTTGTCTGCCCGAGCTGCTAGGGAAGTTTTCCCACTTTCCCCACTCAGAGGAAAGATGGAAAGCCAGTTTGCATTGCCTCAGTGTGAGGACGGATAAGTCTGCAGCCTGAAATCCTGCGAGGCGTTGTTTTTCTTCTTTTTCGCTGCTGGGCAAGAAAGAGGTCTGTGAAGTCCAGGGCCGGATGCCTTGTGAACACGTCTGGGCTTTTAGTCTTCCACTCTCACTTGGCTGTGTGTTGCACCTGCTGGTCAAAGGTTTTTCGATGCTCTAAGATGGCGCCCCAGATACGGCACACCATGCCCCCTCTGTCAAGGAAAAGCAAAGCAAGGCATCAGCTGCATGGAACCCCGCACTCGTCAGTGGAACAGACTTGCAAGATAATTATGCAAGAAATGCATGGAGCAGAGCAGACTCTGAACTCTTCCAGAAACTGGGCCATTCGGAACACAACTGCAGCCATCAAGTGACTGTCTTCATGCTTAAGCTGGTGCCTCTTGAATGGCTTCCTCTTAAATTTGAGAGATAACATTGGGGTTCTGGTCCTCGAAGAGCACGTATGCTCAGACCCTCGGCCTATACCCTGACTGCAGCCGGATTCCACCAACTGAAATAAATTGTCGTTTGTCTGCTTTCATTGTCACACTGCCACAGGCCTGGATGTTTTGTGATGCTGGGCAGGCCGCTGTGGAGCGGTGAGAAAGAAATGAGGCTCACAGAGAACATCTGGGGTAGAGGAAAGCCTTGATCTGGTGCCAGAAAAGATAGTAAGGTTGATGCCAGGCAGGCCGCAGTGACACACCTGGGAGAGTCGCCACTGAAAAGGCCCTTCTGCTGGTCACCACCAGCTGAGATTCCCTCGGTTAAAAACAAGCCCCTCACTGAGAAAGGTCGTGTAGCTCAGGTGTGCTAGACTTCTGCTTGTGGAGCTATATTTTCACAGGGAAGCATTTACGACAGTCACGCCCCTTTGGTGGAAGGGCCAAGTTCATCCCCAGCCTCTCCACGTAGGGGGGAAAAACCCTGCCTGCAACCCCAAATAATCACTTCCAACCCACATAGTCCAAACTTCCCCAACCCTTTGGACTACAGTTACCATCCGAGCCACTGTGGCCAAGTCAAGGATGATGGGGTTTGAAGTCTAAGACATGCAGGCTGGGAAAGGCTAACACTATTGAGCTAGTTAAATTGACTGTTTGATTCATCTTATGCAAGCTTCCTACACTCCTATCTGGCATTAGCTTTCTAACAATATCTTTTGAGACGTTCACAAGGAAGGCAGTGACCCTCCCTGTGTCCATTAACTGGTATTCAAAGGTAGACTGCCTCCTGCCATGGAGGTTTCATTAAGCTTTACAATAGCTATGGCTAGACAAACAGTTCATAAAGAGAGCAGGTCTATGGTCCCTGGTTGGGCATGATGGGGGCCAAAGGATGGCTCCAAAATCCCCTTCTGAGGTCAGAGACCACTCCAATGGGGAAAGGCGATGCTGGAGATCCCCTCCCTGCCAACAGAGCAGGGACCATAATAGCTGCCTGCCAGAGACTGGAAAATCAACGCTGGAGGGAAGATAAAGTTTGCAGAAGCCACTCGCTGTGTTCAGCAGTTTCTGAGCAGTGATGGCGCAGCCTGCAGAAATGTGCCCTTACACAGCTTTGCCTCTGGATTGGATGTGGCTAGGCCTCCTGGAAAAGGAAGGGGGCTCCTTGCTGTTAACTGTGGAGTAAATGGCATTTCGGCATAAAGCAGCAGCAAGAAAGGGTCTGCCCCAACTTTTGCTTCCTCTCTAGGCCCTACCTGATGCAGGTGTACCGGAGGTCATCAGCCGTGGCAGAATTCAGCAGGTCAAGCAAGGTGAATCTATGGGATGAGAGCTGGAAGGAAGAGGGGTGGCTTCGTTAGGGCTGGCCAAAGGGATGCCAGGTTTGTCCCCACACAGCGGAAATGGAACCGGTGGGGCTGAAAACAGGCATGTCCATGAGTGAACACCCAGTTTGGACACAGAAGTATGGAAAAAATTATCCAGTTCAAAAAAAAAAAAAAAGCTAATCGGGGGCCAGGGCAGAAGAATGTTGCCATGAAAATCAGGGGTGCAAGAGGGCTGTATTCCATTTCAGAATGGTAAGCCGGGCTAAAGTTACCAATTAAAATGAACCCACCCTAGCATATGTTGGCTTAAAGCTCTTACTGCCAGCGATTCAACATTAGGAATCGGGACAGATATTGAACAAAGGCCAGGAAATTACCAGACACTGGGAGAAAGGTGGTGGGACCATGGGGAGGAGTGTGGGCAGAGAGGCAGTTCCTGGGGGCTGGATTAGAAGGCAGAGGCCTGCAAAATCCCACGCACACATGCAGTTCTCAGTCAATGTGACACCTGATTGGGATGGAAAAATTGGTGCAGGCAGGTAGGGACAGCTACTGTTTCTTACATAAACTTTGCCAAAGGTCAGCCTGGAAAGTTAAGTACCTGGTCCAGTAGCCAGAAGCAACAAGGAATTCCACATGGGTAAGAGAACAAAATGCCCACTTGGCCTCTCCTCTGTCCAAGCCAGTTGCTGGAGGAGGACCAGAGCTCTCTGCCCCTCAGCAGTTTGTGAATTTTGCTTGCAGGCTAATAACATTGGAGGTTCCTTTATATGGCTGTCTTGTGTATAGGCGAGGGAGTGCCTCATCCCTCCTCTGCCCTTCTGCCAGCAAATGAGAGTCCCACTGGAGTTGATTGTTCTGCTTGTGTCCTCCTAGACTATGTGCAGGGTCCAGAGTGAGTCATTTTCCAGAGTAGCCCCACTGAAATCTGGGGGACCGAAGAGTCACCTCTAAGAGCTAGTGTGGCTTAGTGGTTAAGGTGTTGGACTGGGTCTCGGGACATCCGACTGTTAAGCCCTGATCTGGCCAAGAAGCACATCAGGTGACTTTGGGCTAGTCACTGATTCTGCGCCTAACTTCCCTCCCAGACTTCTTGTGAGTAGAAAATGGAAAACGCCTCGGGTTCTTTGCAGGGAAAAGAGTGAGACACAAATATAACAAGGTCTCAGTGTTTTCACGGGGTCTGCTCTGCTACAGGACTGACTCTGGATACAAACCAGTCTTCCATCTAATGCCATTTCAGGGCTTCACCCCAGGAAAAGGTGGAGAGCCATCTTCCCCAACCTGAGACTATCGAACCCATCACCATAGCACATCCAAAGGGACGTGATGGCTGAGGATGATGGGTGTTGCAGCCCAACTCATCTGGAGGGTGGTCAAGAACATTTGCTCTTTTTTGAAAAAAGGAAAGATAAAAGGAAGGCGCTTCTTGCCTCGAGACCAGTACAGTGATGCAAATTTTAAGAGGCACAAGGCTGGATCTGGGAGATGGTGCTTAGGCCCTCTTCCCCGACACTAGACCCCAAAGTGTGACTTACCGTTGCAATTGTGGCTTTGTCTGCTCCGTGTTTTTCTAACCACTCGGCAAGGAGGGGATCTGCGGCCTCTTCCTTTCTCTCCCAGGTAAATGCTGGGGGAGGAGAGACTGCGAGGAAAGCAGGAGGAGGAGGAGGTTCAAAACTGATCAGCTTCTGCTGCTGAAAACCACACAGCATAACCCTCCCAAGATTCCTTGCTTCAGGGGCTTTCGGTTCTGCAAAGCAGGCCAGCTCCCTGCTGCCTGGACAAACAGTCCAAGAGGATGGAATGCTGCACTGAGGAAACAACGTGCAAAGAATCCCAAAGGATCTTGGGATCGTTGCAGATCACAAGCTGACTGTGCATTGTCAATGCGGTGCGGCTGCAAAATGGGCAAATGCTATTGGAGGCTGCATTAAATGAAGTGTCATTTCCAAATCCCGTGAAGCGCTAGTTCCCCTTGGCTCAGCACTCGCTAGGCCTCATCTGGAGTAATGTGTCCCGTTCTGGGTACCACAGTTTAATAAAGATGCAGACAAGCTAGAAGGGCAACCAGGATGGTCCAGGGACTGGAAACAAAGCCTGATGAGGAGAGATGGAAAGAATCGGGCATGTTTAGCCCTGAGAAGAGAAGACGGAGGGGAAATACGAAGGCACTCTACAAGTGCTTGAAAGGCTGTCACAAAGAGGAAGGACAGGATCTCTTTCTGATCATCCCAGAGCGAAGGACATGAAATAACAGGCTTAAGTTACAGGGAGCCAGATTCTGGCTAGATAGCAGGAAAAATGTCCTGTTAGAGCAGTTTGACAAGGGAACCCATGAGCTAGGGAGGTTGTGGGCTCTCCCACCCTAGAGGCATTAAAGATGCAGCTGGACAGTTGTGCAAGATTGTCTGAGCAACTTGGAATCCTGAGCTGAGCAGGGGTTGGACCTGATGGCCCTCTGGCCTCTTCCAGCACTACAGCTATGGCAGGTGGCAGGTGATGCGAAAGACCTTTGCCAGCCAGTGTTGACAATGCTGGATTAGATGAGTAAGCAGGCCAAATTTGTCTATTGGAACTTCTTATAGAGAGACGACTGAAACTTAGCAGAAAGTGTCTGTTGAAATCTTGCAAAACACAATACTGCTAAAATGAAGATTTCCAGGAAATATGTGGTAGAGTTTGAAAACACCACCCACATTCCTTGTCTCTAGAAAACCAAAATTTGCAAAATCAACACACCCAAATGCAAACCTGCATAAATAAAACCCATATCAGAATCCAGCTATTCCCAGTACAGGATCCGGACTGGCTGGGTGCTTAATTTGAATCTGTCTAGCATGGGACAAACATCATTTTCTGTGCAACCTCTCAGTGGCAGACCCTCTCAGTGGCAAATTCCCACCAGACCCTGCTGCTCACCTGTTAGCTTTTGGCTTCTCAGGGCACAGGTGTTCTGTTCTGTAGTCTGTAGTGCCTCCTGCAGGAGCTTCTGGTATTCACGCTCCTTCTCCATCAGTTCCCACTGTAGTCTGGCAGAACATAAGAGGTGTGAGCATAAACACACATCCTTTTGCAACAGTGAAGACACAAACAAGGTTTCTTTAAAAATATACTGACAGAGAAGAAAGGCCCTGAAGAAGGAAATACCTTTCCAAAACATGTTTAGCTTATTAAAGCATTTTTCAGACACCTGAAGACATCTCATCTCTTGTTTTTTAAGCAGACCTAAGAGCTGATCCACTGCTGTTAGGAAGCAAAGGAATTAGCAAGCAAGAAAGCAGACTCAGCATTTCTAATGGTGATTGCTCCTGCTAGAAATGCTGCTGGAGAATTTTACATCTCTCCCCAAAGAACATTCAGTAAAATATCTCTCACCCCTTTTAAGGACCCACTGAAATTCTTTTGGGAAATTTCATCCCAGGTTTTATAAATGTTTGAGCTACTAAGCCAAATTTCCAATTTTCTATCATGGCTTCTCAGGATCGTGGAGCCGGTGGCCTTCAACTGCCTTGTTGGCTTAAACAAGGAGGACCAGACTGGAATAGCCAGCCACCCATCACTCCACACCCAAGAGGAGCAAAGGCCGGCTGCCCTCTGACCCCTGGTCCCACACCAAAGAGCCGGACAGGACTCACTTTCTCGTCTCGGCCTGCAGCTGGCTCAGCTGAGCCATGAGGGACAACTGGTCTTTCTGGGGCATCTGGGAGTCCAGCCAGCTGCTGGTGGAGGTGCCAACTCCAGAGCTTGGTGTGCCTCTGTTGACCTTGAGGGTGTTGTCCTGGCTTTTCAAAGATGGCGGTTGTTGGGTCGAAAGGCTGCTGTCTTGTTCTTCTGGACTGCTCAGGTGTCCCTCACCTTCTCCAGTCAAAAGCTGTGGTTTTATTCTGACCTCTAGAAACAGTGGAGCAAGGGTGCAGATAGTTCCAGAGCAGCAGACAAGTAGTGGCAAGTACACAGTTCAGTGGTACAGCACATGCTTGGCCTACAGAATGTACTCATGGCCACTTCCTGGCCTTCTGAAAGAACTCGAGAGCTACCAAAGCCTCCACCAGTGCCAGCTCCGGGGTCCTGGGGTGGGGCATCCTCAAAGGGCACCGTCAGTGCCTGGGGCTGCTCCTCTCCATCACTGCGACCAGCGGCTTTGCCTGCCAGGCCAAAGAAGCCTCCAGCAAGCAGGCCTTGGCTTCTACTGCCCTTTCATTCCTTGGACCACAGCAAGAGACAAGGGAACAAGGAGATCCTCCTCAGTGGACCCCCTACTAAGGGTATGGTCCCTTGACAGGAGCCCAGTTATGACAACCTAGATGGAGACCTTGCCTTCATGCAAGAGCTCTGAGAGTTGTCTCATGGATCCACTAAAGGGGACACCAACTTGCGGAGGAGGAGAATGATGTAAGCAGCTTTGAGTTCTTTAGAAAAGAAAAAGGCAGGATATACATCTAGTAAACAAACAAATATTCTGTTGAAGGGGCCGATTCTCAAGCACATGCAAGCACACAGCTTCTATACCCAGAACATATCCTATGTTCTTTCCTGTGCCCAATCCGTTTCTCAGACCAAGGCAACTCTTGGTCCTTTCCCCCGGGGCCAGCCATCCGTCTCTTCCATCGTCGTACCGACCTGTTAAGAGGATGGTAAAGGTTGCCTGGACCGCTTGCCCCATGAGGTTATCCAGAGCGAATACCCAGTGAGGCTTGATTTGGAGCTTCCGCAGTGCATGCTTCACCTTGGAGATGGGAACAAACAAGACGGATTGCACATCCTCAAGAAGGCACGAAAAGCCATGCACGAGGGGACCATCCAGTCCGCCATTCTGTACATGCTGCAGCCACTGCAACCACCCACAGGATCCCACAGGCGGGATATTCGTCTCTACCGTGTTGGCTGCAGCCAAACACAAAGCAGGCTTTACGTAAACATGCGCCATGCGGCACCCCGAAAGACCCAAGGGCATTTAAGCAGAGTAACACCGGGATACTATGAAGGAGACTTTTCTATTTGGGATCCAAGGCATCATACTCACCGCATCTTGGAAAGTGAGGAGCGGGGCCTGCACCTGATAGAGGCTCAGCCCATCCTTCTGCAAGGTGGTCTGGAGCTGCAGCAAGTCCTGAGCCAGCTGTTTGCGGCTGGGAGAGCGGATGTAGTTCTTCAGGCAGGACACCAGCTGGCAGATGTGCTCCAAGGACAGCAGGCACCCAGGGGAGGATGGTGGAGAAGGACCGGCCTGGAGGGAACAAAGCCAAGGACAGCTGGAATGGGATGTGGCCAGCTGCCTTAAGCCGAGCCAGAGCCTTGGTCCACACAGCCTTGTATTCTGAGCACTGACTGGCTGCTGCTCACCAGGGTTTCCTACACAAGTTTTCCAGCCCTACCTGGAGAAGCCTGCGATCAAATATGGGACCTGCATGACACGTGCTCTACCAATGGTGCAAGAGGCAGCTGAAGTGGGGCGAGTGCTTACGAACATCCAAAAGGGATACTATTTGCATAAAATCTGCAGGTGCTGATTTACATGTCCAGTGGCAAATTTAGAAATCAGTGTTATACATTAGGTGGCAGCCTCTGATCCCCCTGGAAAAGCCTGGCCTTCCCCTTTTGCTGCCGCCCCCTTGAATCTTTCTGCCTGAGCACTCCTCTGCAAGCAAAGGCTCCTTTCTCCCCCACCGTCCATCCCTTTTTACACCTGGGGCAGTGGTGGCGGACCTGTGCCGCAGCGGGCGCACAGAGCCCTCTCTGTGGGCACATGGGCCAAGTCACCCCAGCATCGCCCCAGCAGCCGAGCATCAGATAACAGCGCACATGGGGGCCATGCGCAAGCTCGGAAAGGAGTCGTGGTGCCAGGCGATGAAGTCACAAGCTGCGAATCATTAGCTGCGACTCGTCCGAGCTTTCGCATGGCCAGTCAGTGCACTGCCAAGCGGGGGGGGGGGGGGGGGAGAGAGAGAGAGATTTGCTTGGAGTGGCTGTGAGTTGTTTTTTCTGAACTAAAACCTCAGTTTTCAGGTTTTATTGCAGCGTTGGCACTTTGTGATGAGTAAGTGGGCCTTGGGTTGCAGTTTGGGCACTCGGTCTCAAAAAAGTTCACCATCACTGGGTTAGGGTTAGAAAAACGAGGTGTCCTGGCATGCTATCGATGGTTGGAATGTGTTTAGAATGGGCAGAAATGATGAGCTGCGCAGAAAAAGCTACTCAAGGAAGGCTTTTTCAAAATCGCTCTCTTTTCAATGGAACTTTAGCCCTGTATTAGGGTTAGGGGTATGCGCCAGGGCAGGGTTAGGGTTAGAAAAATGAGGTGTCCCGGCATGGTATCGATGGTTGGAATGTGTTTAGAATGGGCAGAAATGATGAGCTGCCCAGAAAAAGCTACTCAAGGAAGGCTTTTTCAAAATCGCCCTCTTTTCAATGGAAATTTAGCCCTGTATTAGAGTTAGGGGTACGTGCCAGGGTAGGGTTAGGGTTAGAAAAAGGAGGTGTCCTGGCATGGTATCGATGGTTGGAATGTGTTTAGAATGGGCAGAAATGATGAGCTGCGCGG